CCCATAATCAGCCAATTTCAACTGTTACACGGTTGGTTGATCATTATAATATTAGTAAAAGTTTAATCAGATGAAAGCCTAATTACGATAAATAATATTATGCATATTAAATAAAAGTAATAATATAGCATGGAACAATGGGACGAAGCCAGATTACTGCAACAAAAATATAAAGAACCCACCGAGAACGAAACCATATTACTAAAATAAATACAGGTTTAAATCTCATCAAAAATTATATCAAATCACTAGCAGCAACACAAGATGAGTTTACAAAGTTATCTGTGATAGAGCCAGAACACATCACCAAGTCAGATTCTGACAGATTACCAGGTGGCAGAAAACAAATACTATTTGAGTAACAATTGCATGATTTTATAAAACAAACAATCAAATTATCAACGATGGGGCGTCTCATGATTTTTCAACTTTTAAGATTAATGGCGATGGAATATTTCTTTATTCCACAATGGATAGATGACAAAAGAGCATCTGCTATCGTTAATAATATTGTTTCAGAACAAAATATATTGCTGGTCACGTTGATGAAGAGGGTCTGGTCTGAATTATTGTATATATTTTTATATTGCAAGGGCTCGTACTCAGTAACAAAGAAAAAAGTGAAAGCAAAAAAGCTATGCATATTTGAACAAAAAAATATTTATTTCTCTAGACAATGTAAAAAATGGTAAATCGGACTTATAATCTGTGACAATAATCCAAAAGTTTGATCCTAAGAAAGAAATCACAACTTCTGCCACTAAATAGTCCTATAATAGTCTAATTTCGAATCTCGACGAGGAACAAATATGGAGGAAGATGACGTCAGATGTAGTCCAATGTTTGAATAAAAATAATTCCTCACTTGAATCACAGTTTTTGTTTCCGAATAATTTGAGAATAAACTTCTATGAATAGCATTCAGAATTTGTTGCTTTTTATACAAAAGTCAACTTCTTGAGTTTCCATGGGAATAAATTATTAAATCCAAAATTCATTCCAATAACGAACAATATTGGTAACAAATAAAAAATACATGCACATTGTACCTATAAGGTCTTGACTCTGCCCGATAAAATATTAGAATGCGTATTTAATTTCCCGAAATTTCATTTCATGTCTCGTAAGATTGGTCATGTGGTATCTTGCTACACTAGCTTTGTCACGTCCTCCAGTATAAGCCCACATAAAAACATTCATTAAAAAAGTTGTTTACAAACAGTGATCACGCTATGAAACTACGTCCATGATATAGACCAAACATTTTAACTCCCTGTTGAAATTGTTATCAGGGTAAGACGAACTAAATCTTAATTCACACGTATTACATTTTCGTTTTAAGTGAACAATTTTGTGATATAAATATATCTCATTACTAAAAATAAAATCCTGATTCCAAGAAAAATATTCGTTACAATTAAATACAATGAAACAAAAATGTAATAATGTAATTATTCTAAACCTTACACACAAGCAATTTAATCACAAATATGTAACCATATATATATATATATATATATATATATATATATATATATATATATATATATATATATATATATATATATATATATATATATATATATATATATATATAGATGCAATAAACTGACGACGAACAGTACGAAACTAGTAACTAACTAGCCTAAGCGCTTTCGACTCTTAATGAGTCTTTTTCAAAGGCAAATACAAAACATAGTTACGACAAACAAATAAACACAAAAACGTTGTGTTTGTAAACCTCTACATTTCTGTCTTCACATGTGCTAACGTTTTTGTGTTTATTTGTTTGTCGTAACTATGTTTTGTATTTGCCTTTGAAAAAGACTCATTAAGAGTCGAAAGCGCTTAGGCTAGTTAGTTACTAGTTTCGTACTGTTCGTCGTCAGTTTATTGCATCTATTTTAATTAATCCCTGACAAACGTGATCCCTTGGTGGATCCAGTACGCTTGAGAGGGTTGTTATTCGCCATATGATTTGTATTCTTTATATATATATATATATATATATATATATATATATATATATATATATATATATATATATATATATATATATATATAGATAGATAGATAGATAGATAGATAGATAGATAGATAGATAGATAGATAGATAGATAGATAGAGAGAGAGAGAGAGAAAGAGAGAGAGAACGAGAGAGAGAGTAACAGACAGACAGACAGACAGACAGACAGAGCGATGTGCAGGGGGAACGTAAACTGATCTTTGCAATTTTGCAGCGAGTCTTCACCCTTGTCGTTCGTATTTTACTTTTACTCAGATATTGGCATCAGCGTCTGATAACTCTTCTCGAGCTCTGTTATATTTCTGTGAGAGAAAGTTAAATACAATGATCATATCTTTATCGTATTTAAGGAAGCATGTGCATGAGCAGATTCGTTGTGCGCTTTCGTGGACGTCTTTGAGTCGAAATTGATGATGTTCATTTTTCAAGGCAATTCACGCTGTTGATAGTGCCTTAAACTTCCTTTGGCACGCGTATAGGGTCTGGAAGAAGTTATTATGATGGTCAGGATGAGTTAGATAAAAAAAAGTCATTCGTGCCGAGTATTCTGTCACAACATCGCCAATCTCGACGACTTGAGCTGTCACTGCATCATCAATCTCGACGACGTGAGTTATTCACCCCTGGACGCTCGATAGTCTTACGTATATAGACTTGTACAGACAAAAGTATCTCTAACCGAAACATAACCAGAAACATTTGCAATGGTAAACACTTTATGGACTTCCAACGCCGATTGAGCAAGCTCTTGTATCTTCGCAGGCAGTCTTACCAGTGGATCTCGAAGTCGCAATCGCGTACAAATATAATATAAACTGGAAATTTAGATGTCAGCAGAATACTTTCTACTACAGGTGCTGAGAATACCCACGACGATTTTTAGCCAGGCCTTGACAGGGCATCTAAACACGTGGCCCTTCAGCGATCACACACTGGCACTGGCACACAGGCAACAGATGAAGTTGTTTGGTGGCACAATAGTTTTTGCCACTGAACGAACACTCACATGAAATCTAACAATTATGTCAGGAGCGTAAATAGTAGTGACGAATTATTCACCAAATGGTTATTAAAAGGAGATAGCCACACAAATTTACGTGGACACGCTCCGTGTCAGAAACAGCGCTTGTCACATGCCAACACTCACAGGACGTAATAGAAACCGGTGTCGAGTTTTTGTATCCGCATAATCAGAATTCTCAAACTTTAAACGGACTTCTTCAAATCACCTGACGGCTCCATATGCTGACAACGAGCTGAAATTTACATCCAATTTCTGGCTTCAAGTGCAGTTTACCTGCTCCAGTAGCCATCTAAAATTTTTAAGTGTGTGGGCTCAGCTCTGAAACACGGCTCATTCTTACGTGAAGCTTAGATGGAATAAAAGCATATAGCACTGCTGATGATCTTTACGATGGTACCTCTCGAATTCCTTCCACAATGCTTGAATTTTACATACCTGCCGCAAGCATGAAGTATTTTACGTTCACATTTATTGCGCTCATGTCAAAACCTTCTAATCCTGGGTTAAGTTATTTCAAAATATTTGCACCGAATGATCTGATCTACTAAAGATGCATAGATCAACGAGAACTGATGTATGTCGATTATTTTAGCATCATCAATTAATATAGGTTTCATCAAGGTGGAAATTGTCATAGTATCTATCGAATTTAACTACTTATTGTTTCAAAGATACTTATAAGCAGAATGCGTCATAAGCTGCAAATGACAATCACACGATCAAGCAGACCGCAAAGATTTACTTGGATATCAGTCAGGTGAAACATTTATGTAAGTTAACAGTAGAAAAACACATGGGTAGTATTTCATTTGGACATATGCGACAACAACAGTTTAGAGAAGCCACAGAAGCCGTATTTTGTAGTTTTTAAATTTTTGTAACGATATCGAATCGACACGGTTGGCAAAAAATCATCGAATAAATTGGTAACAGGAACTGCATCGATGCATCTGTAGGGAAAACCTGATATATTAAACGACGACGATTTCGATTGAAACAAAAACGACAATGCAAACAAGAGAGATCTAAACTGCATGGACAAAATAGCATCCAAAAAGAGATTCCATGGAAACCGAAAACTATGCAATGCCATCTAGAAAAGAATTTTTAAAAACCCAAAACATGGGCGGATAAGAACAAGATGACGTCGAGGTAATTACAGAAGTGATGGCGCTAGACAATATATCTGTTCCTGAACAATGTTGAACAACCAGTGGCAGAAGAACTAATTTTTGAAACCATCAAGACCATGGAGCCTTTTTTTAACGTGATCATGTATAATGTGCATGGAACAATCGATCCAGATATCACTACAGCATCATATGCATATTTGGAAAATTTCACTCTCGATGAAAATGAAAAACTACCGAGCAGTATTTTTTTTAAAAAAAAGATGTCTTTCCACATGGAATATTTACCAATGCCCCAAATGAATCTGAGGAAATGCTTAATAAAATTATTGATCGTGAAAAATATCGTAGAAAATACTAGAGACAGTGGGCGTCCGGCGACAGAGATTTTATGCTTTCAACGATAGAAATTTTTAAAAAGTAAATCTCCGTGGAAATTCGTCCTGTCTTATGATTACGGTTATAAATATTGAAAAGTACCTTATTCCACTGATGATCTCTGGTTGTTACATGTAGTAGAAGCACATTAATATCTGCACCAACTTGTGTGTGTGTGTGTGTGTGTGTGTGTGTGTGTGTGTGTGTGTGTGTGTGTGAATTAGACTTTAAACGTAGCTTTAACAATTTTTCAGTCATATCGCTACGATGTCTGCAATGAGACAGTTTAGCGATGTCTTGCTTTGAGGCATCATGCCGCAGACATGTAGCATGATATCCTACCTAGTCATATTATCCTGACACCAGGCCAACCAGCCCTAACACTAACCTCTTAATGCTGGGCGTCAAGTGAGAAAGCTGTTAGTACAAATTTGAAATTATGAGGTGGACGGGGTTCGAACCCACGATCTCTCGCAAGCGAGACGGACGCTCTACCACTAGACCACCCTAGCGGTGGGCCAACTTAAGCTGAAAGCAAATACTGATACTCTGTCGCATCCAACAAAATTAAATCAGCTGCCAGAAATCACAAAACGTTTAATGAAAATTCCAGTTTGGGTTGTTAGAGAAACGGTGAGCGAATTTAAGGTCAGCGAGGATAAAATTAATGTGGATGTGAAGTATTTCAGCGAGCATTTATCACAGCTTGAACTGCTGCTGCACCAATCCAGTGAGTCATTTTGAATATTGTCAATACAGTTTGTGAGCACTTAGAACTGGCCAAAGATGATGACCCATAGAACTGATCACATTACGTATAGTAATAGAATCTCAGGATAGTAAAGACTAACCGGATAAGGTCGTGTTAGCCAACTCAAGACATAATCCAGAATTATACTGATCAAACATTCAAAACAAAGTGACGTGACAATCAAAATCATACGCCAAAGTATTTTAAGATGCGCTGCCGCCATCGATACGGCAGAAATTTTAGACCTTGACAGAGAGCGAATTCACACATGTAATCTAGGGAAGAGACTGAAAAAGAAACACAAATGCTGGACAAACGAATACAAATTAATTAATTGCAACCCAGACAATTATGTGATGATTCTCAATTTCTGCACTAAGTATACACTGAAGCAGCATAATTCGTAGGGTACTTTATTCATTTATGGACGTACAAAAATTCATCAATCGACATGCAAGCTTTCTACACACAATGGAAAAGGGATATTTGAAATCAAAACAGAAAATTGGTCTCTCAGAAGATAGAGCAAAGGGTGAAGAGTGTCTTGAAGCAGCTCGAACTTGAACTTCAACTTACGTGGGCCTTGCTGGTAGTAATAAATAATACATGTTGAGTTACAAACTGAAATGGCCTCTGCTTGATATTAGCAGGATCACTACAATTTAGATTAGATCGGTAAGCACTTCGTTATGGTATTCCTGGAGGTTCGTGAAACAGATCTTAATTTCGAGCCATATAAATAATGAGAGAGAGAGAGAGAGAGAGAGAGAGAGAGAGAGAGAGAGAGAGAGAGAGAGAGAGAGAGAGAGAGAGAGGGGGGGGACTTGATAGAATAAAGTCAGGCCCGGCTCTAGGATGTGCGGAGCCCAACGCAACAAGCAATGAGCGAAGGGCCGCAAGGAAAAAAATGAATTGCGGAGCAAAAGGTTAGCCTCGTTAGCCATGGTGTAGGGCCAGACCTGAATAAAAAATGTTCTATAGTAAAGAAACTACGCAGAAATGAAATAGAGATTATGTCAGATATGTACACTCGTCCGGTGTCCTTTATATAAACTTGACAAGTAGTACTTTGAAATTCACGAAACTTTCGTCGATTGAAGTTTACACATTCCTGTACAAACAGTTTTAAGCTATATCATTTATGTAATGAATATATAATCTAATTTAAATAATGTATCCTAATTACAGCATATCTCCAACGTTTGATAATTTCAACAAATATCTAATTTTATGCTTTCCTTTATTGTAATGTTATTCCTTCAGCATGCCTTATGCTTTGTATTATTTTTTTGATGCCCATATTGTAATCACAGTATAACAATATTAAATTTCTTCAATAATTACTTTTTAGATAAAATGAAAGATATTAGAATCGTGTGCATTAGTGTGTTCCATCTTCTTTGTTCTATTGTCTATGGATTAAAATCTTTTACTCGCAATGCACGTCAGTTACGTAAATAAAGCATGAAAGGGCCTTACAAGCAAGGTTTTCAGTTTTGGTTTATTTTCTTTATCAACGACAAATAGTTATATATTTAAATGGGAATAATGAAGGCTCCACATGATGAAATAGGATTTTGCCAGAGTAGTTCATTTTGAAATAGAGGAATACCTTCGACTTGAGCGACGTAAGTGGAATTATTTCCTCTTAGACCTCAGCTTCAACAGAGAATTTGTATAAATTCTGAGAGTTGAATAAATCTAGTTTGTTTAAAGAAACGTACGATAAACAAAAATGCTAATCTTTACCAAATATATTGTTGCTTATAATATTGTGATTTATTCATATTTTCATAAGCGAAAATGGTAAAGTGGGTATTTTAGGACATCTATGAAAGTTACGCTTATGTATGAAATTATTCATTGAGTGTGTTGTGCAAAATAGTACCACTGTAAAGGATTTTTTTTCACATGCTAGAAGTTTTATGATCAATTAATCTGGTTTCTCTCATTGCAAGGTTATACAATGCTTGTGGTATTAATTATTTCAAATGTATAGTTTGTTTCAAAATATATTTACATTTTTATAGCTTGCATTCGCCTCTTTGGTAATCAGACAGCCAGTTTCTGATATTTTATATAATATTGCACAAGCTGACCTCTTTACATACTTAAAATACATAATAGTGATTATTAACGAATTTCTATTTTTGTAATCTCTGCTAGCTCCATAATTTCTTACATTGTACGCATAAAGGTCTTTTCAATACTTGATTTATTTATGCTACAAAGAGTATTTATTTATCTATTTATATCACTATAAATATGACTATGAAATATATCCTGGTCGAAAACGTCTGGAAACATGCATGCTGAAACTGGTTATATTTATACAAATGACTACAGCAATAGATCAGTATACACGGTCAAGGAGTGGATGCATGATTTACCTCTCTCCGCAATAGATCAGAGGTTATGCGGGATAATTGTGCTGAACAAAGCTTTGCAGGGTTTTAGCGTTTTATCTCATAGTTAACATGCACTTTCTACATTACATTTATAAAGTAACTTTTTTTTGCAGCGTGTTATTCCCTAATGCGCTCCTTATAGGCAAACTGTTTTGCTCCGGATGACCTCTGACCTTTGAAGCTCTTCATTCATACTTAAATAGTCATTCGTACTGTAGATAGACTGAGTGCATTAGATTAAGCGGTGAAAACTTTCTCTTAATCCACAAATGGACATCGTACTGTGAGAGATTTGGAGTAAAGCATTGAGTAGTGACAACAAATTTAATTTCAGCAGATTTATAAAAAAAAAAACTGAATCAGGGCAGGAATTATTTTCGACCCAAGATTCGTAATTAGTTCATGACTTTGCGAATTGTTGTTTCTTTTTCGAGAATCAAATCAAATGCGGTGTATACAAGTAGAACAATTGTTCATATTACTCAACCCAATATGTACAGGTTTTTTTTTTAAAACAAAACAGCCGAGTTTGGAGGTTTGAAACACTTCATCGACCGAACGCTGAAACACGAAGCAAATAAAAACAATAGAATTAGTTCATAAGTTTGGTCTTCTTCTTCAAAAATGTTTCCTTTCTTGTAAAATAACACAGTCCACGTTTTGCGAGAAAATAAATCGAGGATGAGAGCAAATCTGACAATTTTGAAACAGTAACACAAAATGTTTATCATGTACGAAATTCGGGCTAAATAGGTTTTGTATATATAACATGGATTTATTAGACCTAGTAAAACGTTTATCTGTTGATCATTTTTTTATTTTCAGTAAAGTAGAATATGTTTGAGATCGTGTACAATTTTTATTTCTTCGGGAATCATTTTGTTGAGGAATTATTTTCCTACTGGCAATTAATTAGAAAAAAAAAACAATTTATCTTGCTAAGATAAGCTCTTGAAATGAAAAGTAGAATCGAATTTAAATAAAATTTAAATTTGTTCCAAGAAATTAAGCCCAATTGAAGATAAGAAGACTACTGCAAACGACATTCTCCAAAGAATAGGATTAAAATAAAAAGCAGGAAAACAATTTGGATTAAAAATAAAATGATTGTTATTTAAATTATAACAAAGAAATAATATTTATATAATAAATAAATATTTTAAAAATACCGGTTCATAAATCACTTTTGTGTTATGAGTAATCTAGTTATTACTGCTTAAACTTGCGATTAGAATAAGAACACGCTCTTTATTTTCAGCCCCTGAAGAAATTAATGGGTCCATGATAGCCATTGGATTATTTGTTGTGTTGTGAATGCTAGTGAAAAAAAAACTTTACGTAAAGATTCGTGTAAACATGTTTAATAGTCATATTATGATGCCTTCGGATTGGGCTCACCTTTTAACAACTTAAACAAGCCCTCTCCCTACATAATACAAGTATTGCAACATATTCAACACGACAAAAGTTGTCTAATAATGTAAAATCTTGAACAATGTCTGTATCTCATCCTTTGGTCGGTTTGAGTTAACTTTTACCATCATTCATAAATCCAGAGATACTGTCAGAAAATCATCGTCGTTCGCCATTTCATAGATTTTAGTCCATATCCTGCTACAACGAGAGAGAGAGAGAGAGAGAGAGAGAGAGAGAGAGAGAGAGAGAGAGAGAGAGAGAGAGAGAGAGACAGACAGACAGACAGACAGACAGACGGAGACAGAGATTTGGTGATTTTCATATTTATATCACAATATTGATTGACTTTTTAGAACAATAAGGTATGTTTAAGAAAAAATAGCATTGGTATATCAAATTGCTCTTTACTAATACATTAAATACATTATATTTTCTAAAATAACACGTTTGCATAAGCTCAGATTTACTATAATTTATTCCTAACAATTTTCATACCAAAACTGTAAATTAGAAGAGCTGGACTTCGATTGTCGGTTCCTTCAAAGTATATATAATTCCGTTGATTCTGGCCATTGGGAAGCTCTAATCCAGATTTCGTCTGTAATTGATCTGATAAGCACTTCAGAGATGAAATCATATAATTCCGTCTTGTCGGCAAGTATCTCTGATGTAATGGTATTAATACACACAAATTGGCTGCTTTTGATCACTCGCATTTGTAAGAGTGCACCATATATACTGCGACGGAAGAGACTAATAAGGTTTGTTTTCTTCTACCACTGATTATAATTCTCAGTGACGGCGAATTACATTCGAGGAGTCTTTCTCTGGAGTACTGTAGAAGCCGCCGTGTAATTGTACTTGTTTACCAAATCACTTCATGTACACGTCACAAAGCACCTTTGTGCCAAGTGCCGATTACTGCGACTTGTC